CTATTTCCAACAAACTCATGTTTAAATTTTGCTCGCAAAAACATCTGTGAAATTTTTATTAGTTTTTTTAAGTTAATATAAAATTATAGCAAAAAAAGGAACCTGAACTTTAGTAACGTAGCTGGAACATCCCAATCGGTGGTGGGAGCAGTGGAAGAAGAGATTTAATCTAGTATATTTTCTGTGGTTGTTGGTTGTTCACTAGTCTCATGGTGATAGAAGCTGCACACTTTTCCAAAGGGACGGAGAAACTGCAAGGGATCTGGTTCTCCAGGCAGCATTCCGACACAAGCCAGGGATCTGGGGATCTTGGCACCATCTTGAGATCTGTGTGGGATTTCCTTTTGAAGGATGTGCAATGCTCAATCATACGTGTGATGAAGACGTATGTTTGTCTCCAAGAGATGTTTGATTTTGAAGAGATGTGGTACCACCCAGTTACTGAAAGCACCGGCTCCCCTGTTGAAGCTTGCTAGGGATTACAATGGGTTTGACTCCATTCAAAGCTTCTTTTATTCTCGTAAGAATTTCATGAAGCCTTCTCACCAAGGGTACCCACACCAAAATTTCCAGGAAGAAATGGAGTTTCTTAATGCAGTTTTCCCAAATGGAGCCGCATATTGTATGGGACATATGATTTCTGACTGTTGGTACTTATATACTTTGGATTTCCCAGAGAGCCAAGTAATCAATCAGCCAGATCAAACCCTGGCAATTCTGATGAGTGAGCTCGACCCAGCTGTTATGGACCAGTTCTACATGAAAGGTGGTGGGACTACAAAGGATGTCACTTGTGAGAGTGCAATTTGTGATCTGATACCAGGCTCTGTCGTGGATGCCACACTGTTCAATCCTTGTGGCTACTCAATGAATGGAATGAAATCAGATGGGACATATTGAACTATTCAGGTCACTGCAGAACCAGAATTCTCTTATGTTAGCGTCAAAACAAACCTAAGAAGGGCCTCCTATGATGACCTGATCAGAAAGGTTGTTGATCAGAGTTCTAAATGTTGCACAGTGCTTTCTTCACCCCCAGAAGATTAAAGGTTTTAAACGTCTTAATTGCCAGAGTGCTATGTTCAATAATTATAATCTTGCTTTTACCAGTTTTGCTGAGAAGCAGCAACAACAGCAGAGTTGATTAAGAAAAATGAAGAAGAAAAATCGCAAAAAGAGAAAACACACAGGTGGTCCTGGCTGCTTTCTAGATGTTGATTGTGGGGGCCAGGTATTTCATGGGCACCACCATGTGGTTGCAGAAAGCCCTGGGTGTAACCATTTTGAAGTGTATGCATTATTATATCAAGGAGTTAGATATCTTGCATGAGTGCTCTCTTCTGTGTTTAGGTGTTCTAAGCCACTCTTGCTATGGAATTCAAGTGCGTGTAGAAAAGAACTTTGATTGTATGAATCTTTACAACACTTGTGAAAATGATTCAGTTTGCTTTATGTATAGTGCAATACTTCTGCAGGCATCGTCCAGAATCCCCCACAGACAAAGCTTTCGTCCTCATTACATGCTGGCCTCACCTGACCATCTGTGACTGTTCTATTAAATTGCTGCCAAAATTTTTACATCTTTACCTCCACTTTCTAGAGCATATTCTCTACTAACGTTTTTCAAAACCAATTTTTTTTCTTTTTTGGTTTTACAAGACAGGGTTTCTCTGTATTGTTTTGGAGGCTGTTGGTCCAGCCTGGACTCAAACTCACAGAGTTTAATCCCGAGTGCTGGGATTAAAGGCGTGTGCCACCACCGCCCGGCTTCAAAACCCATTTTTACTTCATATAGGTGTTTTATGCTATGGTGATTAAAGGTTTTCTTCTACAAGCTGAGTCCTTGCAAGAAAATGCTGATTCCAGTTATTGTTTTGTATTCTACCATTTAGTAGTTGTTCCTGTATTTATAGCCCTATGATTGATTTCTTCTCTCACCAACTGTGTCTTTCTTTCCCTCTTCCTTCAACCCACCCCCCCCATTAAATCAATACACTGTTACACTGGGCTTACAAGTACCCCGCTGGAGGGAGTTTGGAGATGGTACCTGGCTTATTTTTTTTTAGACATAAGAATTTGCCTTCTTATTGACATGAACTGTGAAAGATAAATGACAAAACTAAATGTATCAAATGAAAAGAATTTTCTCTCCAGGTGTGGTTAGCAGGGAGAACCCACTTAAAAAATCACTTTATGAAAACAGTAGGCTATGCAGTGCACTTTAATCAACTTTAATGGAGTTCCTGCCATGCTTTCACAAACTTATTAAGTAGTGAGTGACAGGAGGAAGTCCACTAAGTCAAAGCAGATATTTGATCCTGGACATTCTGACCCCAGTACATGCAGTCAACTTTTAACCTGTTGCTACCGACTTCTACTAAAGGAAAAATTGACTCCAAGGAGAGTCTGTAGCGTTTCCATCTGTGACTTAGAAGTTGTGTGTTTTTGTGACTCCTGTGAGCTGTTCTGACTTCACCCATTCCTGTGTGGTCTTCTTTTACCATGGTGTTCACATGATCAAATGAATGACTGCCCAGAGTGAGGACTATCCAGGTTACTCAGCCAGGTAGCAAATGTATGAACACACAAAACAACAGAATATTCTGAAATAGGTAAGGGAACTAGAAATACAGGCTTTCAAGGGTCAGCATGTTCATGGCATTTGCAATATTATGGCATCTATACAGCTGGGAGAAGAGCAAAATGGACTGAATTTTCTATTGCCCTTGTACTGTTTTCTTGGTAGTTTCTGAACTGATCAGTGATGTTTTGTTCCTTTACAATGAAACACATTTTTAGCATTTCTAAAAATTGAATCTACTTGATTTGGAATCAAGTGGTTGGAACTTATCTAGATTTTTACTTTAAACATGTTTTTGACTGAATGCTTCCCTGGGAAAGCCTCCAGTCAGCTTTATCTGTTTGATTCTGTATTGAGCATAGCACCTAATGTTTTGAACTGCCATTTAAAGTACCGGTGCTTACTTAATCTGGATTTTGTAACCCAGTAGATTTTGTTGGTTTGAGGTCTGATTCCCCAATCTGGTAGAATTTATGAATTCTAATGTTGAAATTTGCATAGGGGGAAAACTTAGAAAACAAACTATAGATTGAATAGTGATCCTAGTGTGATTACAGGAGGGGAAGTTTTGGAATAGTGATCCTAGTGTGATTACAGGAGGGGAAGTTTTGGAATAGTGATCCTAGTGTGATTACAGGAGGGGAAGTTTTGGAATAGTGATCCTAGTGTGATTACAGGAGGGGAAGTTTTGGAATAGTGATCCTAGTGTGATTACAGGAGGGGAAGTTTTGGAATAGTGATCCTAGTGTGATTACAAGAGGGGAAGTTTTGGAATAGTGATCCTAGTGTGATTACAGGAGGGGAAGTTTTGGAATAGTGATCCTAGTGTGATTACAGGAGGGGAAGTTTTGGAATAGTGATCTTAGTGTGATTACAGGAGGGGAAGTTTTGGAATAGTGATCCTAGTGTGATTACACGAGGGGAAGTTTTGGAATAGTGATCCTAGTGTGATTACAGGAGGGGAAGTTTTGGAATAGTGATCCTAGTGTGATTACACGAGGGGAAGTTTTGGAATAGTGATCCTAGTGTGATTACAAGAGGGGAAGTTTTGGAATAGTGATCCTAGTGTGATTACAGGAGGGGAAGTTTTGGAATAGTGATCTTAGTGTGATTACAGGAGGGGAAGTTTTGGAATAGTGATCCTAGTGTGATTACAGGAGGGGAAGTTTTGGAATAGTGATCCTAGTGTGATTACAGGAGGGGAAGTTTTGGAATAGTGATCCTAGTGTGATTACAAGAGGGGAAGTTTTGGAATAGTGATCCTAGTGTGATTACAGGAGGGGAAGTTTTGGAATAGTGATCTTAGTGTGATTACAGGAGGGGAAGTTTTGGAATAGTGATCCTAGTGTGATTACAGGAGGGGAAGTTTTGGAATAGTGATCCTAGTGTGATTACTGAAGGGGAAGTTTCGGTGCCATAGTTTCTCTTCATTGGTGTTGAACTTTTAGTCAGTTTGAAATTTATTTCTGTACCACAATGTAGGCTTCAATAAAAGTTTGCTAAATTGTCTAGCTAAAAAAAAGTATACAGGCAAGCCAGTGCCTGCAGGAAGAAAAGGAACCCCTTCCCCTGAAAGCGTGCCCATTCTTAAAACAAAAGCATTGATCAATTAATAAGGGCCCTGCCCCTATGACTCCAAACACACTAGACCCTTATCCTCTTACTGCTACACTGGCAAGTGAGTTTCTACATGAGTTTCAGTGGGAACAAAAATACATCCAAACAGGAGCCACAAACAAGGCTTGTTGTTACCATTAATATCTGGAAGGCAGTACAAAATAAGCCTGGGGCTGCCAGTCCTGGGGACAGAGGCAAGTCCATGACCTGAAACACAAACTATAAAGCATCCCAAGATTATGCCTTCAGACCCACAATCTCAGAACTTACAAAATTGTGTTGTCAGGATGGCAACAGTGGGGACCCAATGGGATCTGTCAGGAGCAGAAATTGACTCCGCTGTCTGAAATCCCCCCCCAGTACTCCATGACCTCCTGCAGGAGAAACCACAGCCCCAAAATTACAGATGGGAAAACTGAGCTCAGGGGAGCTGGTGGATCATTGCATAGACTGAATGAGTTGTGTCTGTGAACTCTCCCTTTATTCTCAGACCCAAGACCAGGATTGACACAGAGCAAACACTTACAATTATCTTGTGTGTGGATGAAGGTCATACAGAATTATTATAGGTCGAGTGACAACTTGAAGGAGGTACTTCTGTTCTAAAGCTCACACTATTTGCACTGCACTGTTCAGGACATTCCAGCACCCACAATCAGTCTGTTGTACAGCTTAGACAGATGCCTAAATTCATCCAGCTATTGAAGGGTGAAAGGAAGAAAGAAAGGAAAGAATCAAAAAAATAATTCTACTGTGTACACTTGTGCTCCATCTTTCTTCCCTAATTTATGATTCATTTCAGACAAGCATCAGATTGGAAGAAGAGAGAATCTTTACCAGACTGAGTCCTGGAAAACAAAGGATTTGCTCCAAAATTTCACAAAGCTACTACTTCTACAAAAATCTTATCCAAGAAGGTTGGAGACCTTAGCCAGGAAAAGCTGGCATAAAAGCAAAGGAGAGGATAGAAAACATCTGATTGAGATCCAAGACTTATTTCGCCCAACTCCAGATACCCAAGAAGAGCCTCAATTAGTCATATTAGAGGGAGCTGCTGGGATTGGGAAGTCAACACTAGCCAAGCAGGTGAGGAGAGCCTGGGAGGAAGGCCAGGTCTACAGGCATCGCTTCCAGCATGTCTTCTACTTCAGCTGCAGAGAGCTGGCCCAGTGCAAGCAGCTGAGTCTGACTGAGCTCATAAGCAAAGACCAGCCTGTGCCCGCAGCTCCCATCAGAAAGATCCTGTCTCACCCTGAGAAGCTGCTCTTCATCCTGGATGGCATAGATGAGCCAGCTTGGGTATTGGAGGAGAAGAATCCTGAGCTCTGTCTGCACTGGAATCAGCCACAGCCAGTGCACAGACTGCTGGGAAGTTTGCTGGGGAAATCTGTCCTGCCTGGGGCGTCCTTGCTCCTCACAGCTCGGACCACAGATCTCCAAAAGTTCATTCCTTCTTTGGGGCAGCCACGTTGGGTGGAAGTTCTAGGCTTCTCCAAGTCTGGACAGAAGAAATATATCTACAAATATTTCACAGAGAAAAGAGAAGCAACTGCAGCTTTTAGCTTGATTAAATCAAACCCAGTGCTCTCAACACTGTGTGTGGTGCCCTGGGTGTCCTGGCTAGTCTGCTCTTGCCTGAAGCAGCAGATGGAGCAGGGGAGAAACCTCTCACTGACCTCACGGACCACCACAGACCTCTGCCTGAAATACCTTTCCCAGACTCTTCCAGGTGGTGCCCTGGGGACCCAGCTCAGGGAGTTATGCTCACTGGCTGCTGAGGGGATCAGGAGAAGAAAGACCCAGTTCAGTGAAATAGATCTTCAGATCCAAGGGTTAACTAAGGATGGCATTGCCTCTTTCCTGAAGATGGGTGTCCTGCAGAAGCATCCTAGCTCTCTGAGTTACAGCTTTGCACACTTGTATCTCCAGGAGTTCTTTGCAACAATGTCCTACATTTTACATTATAATGAGAGAAGTGGTTATGTGGAAAGTATTGTAGAACAACTGAAGAAATTATATGGGAGACATGACCTGCTTGAGGCACCCACCATGGGCTTCCTATTTGGTCTTTTGAGTAAACAGGGGATTAGAGAAATAGAGAAGATCTTTACCTGCAAGTTGAATTCAGAGACAAAGTTGAACCTGAGGTGGCACCTCCTAGAGGAAACCCTTTGTCATCAACCATATTCTCTGCATTTACTCCATTGTCTGTATGAGATCCAGGATGAGGAGGTCCTGACAGAAGTGATGCACACTTATCAAGGAACAAGGTTGCATGCCCCAGTGGATGTGACACACCCAGTGTTCCAGACAGGAGTGAAGTACATGGTGGTCCAGACAGACATGGACCTCATGGTGGTCACTTTCTGCATTAAGTTCTGCCGCCATATGAAGAGGCTTCAGATGAATAGTTGTGAACAGCAGGGACCAATGCGAACTGCCCCTAGGATGGTTCTGTGAGTATCCAGACACAGCCCTCTCTCCAGCTTCCCTGTGGATCCCATGAGCACACATGTTCTCAGCACCAGCAGCACTCTTAGCTGGATCCAGGGCAGCAGGATGCAGGTCACCAGTGACATCCAGCTGCTGAATCTGACCACTTTCTCTGCTTGCCTCTGTGTGCTATGTGTTGGGGCTATGAGCTTTTATCTCTCCCTATGCCTCAGTGAGGACCACCCACCTGCTCTGATTCAAATCTTCACACTTCACGAGGTTCAATTGGCCCACAGTTCCTGGTACTCTCTCTTAGCATCTTTTACTTATGAGAAACCACTCATTCAGCTCCTACACTCACCATCCCATATCCCCAGTGACAGTGACTTCCTACTAACCTCAGGAGGCATATGTGTGACCATCCTAATGTTTTCCCTGCCCAGAGACTTCCTTGTATGTGTCAGTGAAGATGGTGTGGCCCTGGCACTCTGCCTGAAGGACTCCTAACTTCCCACCAATCTTAGCGCCAATGTAAATCTCTCCTTCCAGGTTCCCCCTACCACTATGCAGAAGTGGTGACCCCAGATCAATGTCTGTCTCTCTCCTCTATAAATGATTCATTAAACACTGATTTCATGCCAGGCCCTGCCAGTCAATCACAAGAGGAAAAATTCAGTTTCTGCCTTAAGGATTTCAACACTGGGAGAGAAGACAGACACATACCCTAATTACATAGGGCATGACTCATACAATAACCAGGAACATACCAGTTATCTAGAGTTGAGGACTTTGTCACCAGTCTGAACACAGTAAGAGCTATGTGAAAAACAAATAACTTAAAAGTAGTAGATCAAAGGTTAGAGAACAGGAAGAGGATGAGGAGAGAAAAGAAAATGGGTCAAAGAGAATAATGTAATCAAGCTGTGTTTCACACATATAGGAAGTAATCTAAATGACTCTCATTTTAAATTAATAGGATGAACTAAAAGACACATGCTTACTGTAGAAGAGTGAGAATTTTATCAGTTATCAAAACAACAAAAATTAATATCCTCCAGAATTCCATTCCTCAGAGAGGAAAGCATTAAGAATTGGGGTAGCTGAGCTTGGTCGTGCACACCTGTCTTCCCAAACTCAGAAAGAAGGAAGTCCCAGGCCAGCCTGGGCTACATAGTTACTCATTTAGTAAAGAGATTGCCTGGTGTGTTGGCTAGTTTTCTTTTGCTGTGTTAAAACACCATGGCCAAGGCAACTTATAGAAGAGTTTATTTGGGCTTATGGTCCAGAGGGATGGGGTCCATGGCAGAGGGAAGGGTTGTACTGGGGCAGCACTGAGAGCCCATTTCTTGAACCACAAGCAGGAAGCAGAAAGAGTGTGCTAGGAATGTCTCAAGGCTTTGAAATTTTAAATCCTACCCCCAGTGACATAGTTCCTCCCACAATGCCACACCTTCTAAGCTCCCCCAAAGAGTTCCACCAATTGAGGACCAAGCATTCAAATGCCCATGACTGGGTTACATCTCATTCAAAACACCACACCTAATACGCCCAAGACCTGGGTTTGATCCACAACATGAAAGAAAAAAAATGTGATATGCCCTTTAATCTTTTCTCTATATGCTTTTATATGGGAACAGTGAGCCACACAATATCTCTTATCTTATATTCACATTTATTTTCTTTATGAGTCAAGGCTGTCTTCTCTGGTTACTAAAGGTCTAGTACATTACCTTTCTGAATAATCTTCTGATATTGCCTCAGGAGAATACCTTAGTGAATTGGATTTTTTCCTGTTCTTGGCCAGTATAAGTTGTTTCTTGGTGTCTATGGTCATAAAAAGTGAGCCTTGAAGGGTCTTGATACAGAGGTTACAAGTAGAGTGGCCTGCTGTGGAGCTTCAGAAGAATTCTGAGTAGGCACAGAGACAGAGACCAGTGAGGAACGCCAGCCTGCTTGCAAAGGACAGTGGCCTTAGGAGTCTGGGGACAACCCCATGGAAAAAGGAAAGGTATTGGCTGCTAGTGAGAAAGTAAAATTGAGGGGAAAAGTCAGACAAAGCACAGGGAGATCCTAAAGGAGGCCATTGTGCACAAGGAAAACAGAGACGGACCTTGACCAAAGTCAAGGAATCAAAACTAGCAGGGTGAGCAACTTCTGTATTATGGCTCATAAATGGCGCCTCATGTTCTTTGAATAGCACATTCTGAAGTTCCTTTTTCAGTCAGTGTAAATACTTAACATGCATCAAAACCGCCGTCCTGTGAAAGCTCGGCAGGTGGCTCTGCATTTGAGACCACTTTCAGAGGGGGTGCGTCCATTCCCAGCACCACGAAGCTGGCTCACAGCCACCTTTAACTACAGTCCCAGGGGATTCAGTGCCTGCTTCTAGCCTCTGCAGGCTCCTGCATGCATATAATGCACACAGAGAAGCAGCATGCAAGCACACATATAAAGTAAAGAATAAATGAAGCTTTTTAAAAGTTTAGTGTTTGGTTTCCCTAACATTCTTTGATTTTGTAAAGTTAAAACATCATATACTTTCTGTTTCATCCAAAGTTGGCCATTTCTAATATGTGTTTTGAGATCCGTGAGGGGTTTTAGTGTGTTTCATTGTTTTGTTTGGAGTGTTTAGGATCTAATGTTGCACACATCAGGCACAGAACTACTCCCAGCCCCTTCAGATTTGTAGCTTAGTCAGGCCTAGAATTCACCATTCTCCTGCCTTTGTATGCTTGGTTTCTAGCATTAAAGGAATGCCTTATCACTCAGGATGATTTCTCTCTCTCAGTCTCTCACTCTGAGTGTCTGTCTGTCTCTCTGTGTCTGTGTGTATATCTGTTTGTCTCTCTATATATGTGTCTCTTTCTGACTCTCTGCCTATGTCTGTCTGTGTATATTTACCTCTCTGTCTGTCTCTCTCTGTCTCCTTGTGTGTCTCTGTCTCTCCCTGCCTCTATCTATCTATCTCTCCATTTCCCCCTCCTCTTGAAAAGATGTGGGGGACATGTGAATCAACGTATCTGTGGTGTTTATAACCATGTTTATAATGATGGTCAACATCCCATCACACAGTTGTTCTCAACCACCTCTCCTGAGCTCTCTTCCCATCTCCCCTTTCCAGTTTTCTTTTATGAGACTTTAGAATTGTATTCCAAAGGAAGCCGGGCGGTGGTGGCACACTCCTTTAATCCCAGCACTCGGGAGGCAGAGGCAGGCGGATCTCTGTGAGTTCGAGGCCAGGCTGGACCGACAGCCTCCAAAACAATACAGAGAAACCCTATCTCGTAAAACCAAAAAAAAAAAAAAAAAAGAATTGTATTCCAAAGGAGACCAGGTACATTCACATGAAAAGGAAGACAGCTATCTGAATTACCAAGGTCCTCCATCGTACCAGGCCCTGTGCTGGGCACTATCGACTAAAAAGAAAATATGTCATTCACCTGTTCATACCCTATGGGACACCTAGACTGAGTCAGAAACAGACACACAAAATGAACACACAGCATGCTATGATAAGGATGTAGGTGAGGAACCACCCAGAGGAGAGGACCCAGATGTTGGGGCGAAGAGGCATGTAGAAGCTGGGGGTGACATATGGAGGCCTGGTGCTCAGGCAAGAGAAACCTAATCTGTTGTGTGGGGCTGTGCACCTCAGATCATGCATACATGAGTCACATCCCTCATACCTTCTCCCTCCTTTTCTCTGTGTCTGTCTCCCTCAGGTCCAGGTGGACCCCAATCACTAATGCCAGTTGGCAGGTTCTCTTTTCTACACTTGAGTTCACAGGAAGCCTGGAGGAATTGGACCTAAGTGGAAATCCACTGAGCTTCTTTGCACTACTGAATCTCTGTAGGATCCTGAGATACCCTGGATGCCACCTAAAGACACTGTGGTGAGTCTGGCCTGGGTTCTCCTCTGAAGCAGGGATGGACAGCAGTAGAGCAGACACAAAAGCGGAATCTAGGATGAGGCTTGGTACTCATCAAACATTCACCAAACCCTCTTGATCGCACTTGTAACAGAGGTCAGAATGTTATGATAAATAAATGGGTTCTGTTGTTGGGGACCATGGGAGACTGACATTCATCAAGGAGCCCCACTAGCTATTGCTAAAAACAGACCCATAAAGTCTCCAGTGGAGCAAACTTCCTGAGGAAGTGGCCACAGGAGAACTGAAGAACACAGAGGAAGAGGCTAAGTGAAGCAGGAAGGAAGAAAGCTCCAGACCCAAGGACAACATCTCCCCATTTCCTCCTGCTCTCTGCTATTGTAACCAGCCTTCTACTCTGTTTCTATAGATGTCATCTTTACTAAGATTTCACATGGCAAGTGAGATCATGTCCTATTCTATGTCTGGTGAATGTCACTTGAAATGGCTCTTGAAATAGACCAGTGAGTTGTCCTGGGCCTCGTGGAGCTCTGCCATTGCCAGGAGCAACAGAGCAGTGGTCCCCAAGCTGTTCTCCACTGCTCCTTATGCTCAGCTGTGGGAAGCATGGAATTACACACCCAGACTAGAAAAGGAACCCCAGAGAGCTGAGCACTGCTAACACAGCGTGCCAGGCTCACCAAAGGAGACCTGAGCTCAGTTCCCAAGAGCAGTGAGCCCTGGAGAGCTGATGGTGAGCATCTCCCACGCAGGCTTGTCAACTGTGGCCTCACATCCAGACACTGTGAGGACCTGGCCTCAGTGCTCAAGGCCAGATCCAGCCTGACTGAGCTAGACCTGCAGCTGAATGACCTGGGTGACCATGGTGTGAGGCTACTGTGTGAGGGGCTCAGGAATCCTGCCTGCAATCTCAGAATCCTGAGGTAAGTAAGACCCCCAAGAGTCCCTCTGGGCAGGAGGCAGGGGAAGGGACACAGTTGTGTTACTAGATGACAAGACATAGGAAAAAAGGAACAGATAATGTGTAGACAGCCTGACTCCTGACCAGCTGTGCCACTAACACCCTGAGACTTGGGTAAGTCACTTTCTTCTCAGTTTCCTCATCTATCAAATGGAATGTCATACCCATCCCATGGCTTATAATGACACAATATATACATATGTAAAAACAAAGATGATACCAGGTGGGTAGCATTGTACAATTATTTGCATTAGCAAGGCTATTATCCTAGCAGACTCCCAGGTTTGCCTTATTCCAGGACAGTGCTACTATTATTTATTCATTCATGAAGCATGCATGCATTCATATCAGGCCCCTGTGTGCCAAGCCCTGGTCCAGGCACGAGGGATACAATCAAACACATGTGGCTCTGTCCTCCTAAAGCTGTGTGGGAAGAGACAGACATAGGTCACCTATGAGCCATGATTCAGTATTGACAAGCTCTGTTGAATGCTGTAAGGTCAACAGTATGATGAGAATCCAATGCTCTGAGAAGACCTGCTTTATTGAATGACCCAGGAGGGCTTTTCTGAGGTCTGATAGAGAAATAGCGCTTGGTTGGGCCGACCTGTGGACAACAGCCCAGGAAAAGGCAGAGTTGGGGAAAGCTCTGGAACAGAAAGTGGCTTGGAGACTTGGGGGGCCATGGGATTTCACTATAAGGGCTTGTGGAAATACTCTGTACAGAATCCCTAATGGAGTTAGGGACATGACCTCCAGCTACTAGGAATGATGATGGCTACTCTGTGGCTCTTTGTCAACCTGAGTTCCCTCATCTATGGCCATGTTCCCTTCCCTGGGACAGTCTGTTTCCAATGACTGACCTGTGTGGAAGGTTATAAAGGGCCAGCTCCTCATTTCAGTTCTGGAATGTTCCAAAGGTCCTCACTCAGGATTCAGATCTCCACATCTCCATCTGCTCACCCTGCTGCTCTCCATCCTTTGTCCTGGTTTTGGCTCAAGAAGAAGCCTTAATAAGTCTCCTCACTGACTCCATCTACAGACAACAGATCCAGTATCCTGGACCCTGAGGTCTCATGATCCTGTGGTGGATCCCAGAACAAGCAGCCCCCTCTTGTGCTTGCAGGCTGGACCAGGCCCCTCTCAGTGACCAGGTGATGATGGAGCTCAGGGCTCTGGAGGCAGAGAATCCACAGCTGCTCATCTCCAGCACATGGTAAGTGGTGGACACAGAACTCCTACTGGCCAAACCAGGCCCTATGTGTCTGCTCCAGAGCTGAGGTGGGAAAAGGGTCCTGAAGCTATAGGAAAGACAAAATGAGCCAGGAAGAAACCAGGGAACCACAGCAACCAAAGTGAGGAAGGGTTCTGTGTGTTGGGAGATTGTATGATTTTTTTCCTTTTTTAATAAAAATGTAATCATATAACATGCCTACATAAGTTCTTCCACAGGAAAAAAAAGAGTATATATGAAAGGTAAGTTAGTGGTTAAGTCCTCTGGGTACAGTAAGTGTGACAATGGTAGGCACCAGTAAACCCAACCACTGCAACACTGAAAACAGAAACCACACTTTAAAAAGATACAGGAAAAACTCTAAGAGAAAAGCAAAACACTATGGCTATCACTGTCCAAACCACCATGCTCACATGCACTCATACACACATGAGTATGTACACACGCACACACACACACGTGCGCACACACACACACACACTGTACTGTGGGATATAAAGCCTCAGGTCAGGAAAGTCATTTTCCATCCCTAGGAGCTGTGCTGAAGCCCCATGTTCTCTCCCAGTTTAGTTAATTTCACGAACCCCATCTGTCCTCAAGTTCCTACTTGTTGTGCCACATGGGAAATGAAGGGTCCTATAGACATAGGACAGTCATCCATTCATTGAACAAATATTCTAGAAAGACCAACTGTGCATCATACTCTGTTTTCGGGTCTGAGGGCACATCAATGAACAAGGCAGACATGGCCCATCATTTTTTATTACTGGATACCAGCAGTGAGGGACACTTGCTCCCCCACAGCCCACAGAATTATACCTGAAAACCCTGTGAATGCAGTGGTTGGCTGTCTGACCTCACCCAAAGCTGAGGTGAGCTCCCAAAGATGAGAAATATGGGGTTGATCCAAGAAGAAGAAATTTCCAAGCAGAGGCAGAGGATCAGGAAGCAGAGAGAGCAGCTCCACTGAGGAACAGGAAACCATGTGTGAGACTATCTGTACTCCTTTGCCATCACCTGAGAGCTCCACAGAAATGCAAGTTCTTAGGCTCCACTCCATCCCTGCTGACTCAGAGTCTTTGATGGAGCAGATTCCTCAGTGAGCTTTCTTTTTTTTATCATTTTTTATTTTAATTTTAAATAGCTTGTTTTACATGTCAATCCCAGTTCCCTCTCCCTCCCCTCTTCCCGCACTCCCCTTCCCCCCCTCCCTCCCACCCTATTGCCAAATCCTCCCACATAGGGGATATCTAGAGTCTGTCATTTTACTCTTGGTAGGGTCAAGGCACTCCCCTAAGAGTCCAGGCTGAGAGAGCATCTCTCTTTGTGCTATAGGCACATGAAGATAGTTTGTATACCAGGGATAGACACTGATCCACAGCTCAGGGCCCCATAGGTTGCCCAGGCCTTCTCACTGACACTCACATTTGAGGGGTCCAAATCAGTCCCATGCTGGCCTCCCCACTGTCGGTCTGGGGTCCAAGAGCACTCCCCTGTTCAGATCAGCTGTCTCTGCTGGTTTTGCCAGCCCATTCTTTGCCAATTTGCTCATCACTCCTCTCTCTCTGTCACTGGGTTCCTTGGGTTCAGTTCAGTGATTAGTTGTGTGTTTGCCTCTGCTTCCATCAGTCACAGGATGAAGGCTCCCGGATGGTTATAGACATCAAGTTCATTATCAGGAATGGGCATTCGAGGTGGTCCCTCCACTATTGCTTAGCTTGCCAATTGATGTTATACCTTTGGATCACTCGAGGTCACTCTGGTGCCTGATCTGTCTTCGATCCTATGATTCCCTCTTCCCCCTATTCTACCCCCACCCCCTCAGCTTCCTGTTCCCCCATGACCAACTCCCTTCCTCTTTACCCCCTCTATTCTTCCCGGGTCCCACTCCCCCCACCCCTCGCCGTGTTCCCCATCCATTCAGAGGATCTTGTCTCAATCCTCTTCTCTTGGGTACTATGCATATATGCATATCTTTTAGGTTCTTTCCTGTTTCCCAGACTCTCTATCTGTGGAAGTGCAGACTGGCACTATCCTGATCCATGTCTAAAATCCATATATGAGTGAGTACATACCATGTTTGTCTTTTTGCGACTGGGTTACCTCACTCAGGATGGTTTCTTCCAGTGCTATCCATTTCCCTGCGAATTTCAAGATTCCATTGTTTTTTCCTGCTGAGTAATACCCCATTGTGTAAATGTACCACATTTTCTCTATCCACTCTTCAGTTGAGGGGCATCTAGGTTGCTTCCAGGTTCTGGCTATTACAAACAATGCTGCTATGAACATAGTGGAGCAGATGCCCTTGTTGTATGAACCTGCCTCATTTGGATAAATGCCTAAGAGTGGAATTGCTGGGTCTAGTGGTAGATTAATTCCCATTTTCCTGAGGAATCTCCATACTGATTTCCAAAGAGGCTGTATGAGTCGGCACTCCCACCAGCAGTGGAGGAGTGTTCCTCTCTCACCACATCCTCTCCAGCATAAATTGTCTTCGGTGTTTTTGATTCTAGCCATTCTGACAGGAGTAAGATGGTATCTCAGAGTTGTTTTGATTTGCATTTCCCTGATGGCTAAGGATGTTGAGCACTTTCTTAAGTGTCTCTTGGCCATTTTAGCCTCCTCTATTGAGAATTCTCTATTTAGTTCTGTACCCCACCTTTTTATTGGATCCTTTGGTGTTTTGGAGACTTGCTTCTCGAGTTCTTTGTAAATTTTGGAGATTAGCCCTCTGTCAGATGTAGGGTTAGTGAATATCTTTTCCCATTCTGTGGCCTGCCTTTTTGTCTTTTTGACTGTGTCCTTTGCCTTACAGAAGCTATTTAGTTTCAGAAGGTCCCATTTGTTAATTGTCGATCTCAGTGGCTGTGCTACTGGTGTTAGGTTTAGGAAGTGGTCTCCTGTACCAACTTGTTGAAGAGTATCTCCCACTTTCTCTCCTAAAAGTTTCAGGGTGGCTGGATTTATGTTGAGATCTTTGATCCATTTGGACTTAAGTTTTGTACAAGGCGATAAACATGGATCTATCTGCAGTCTTCTGCATACCAGTACCCAGTTTTTTTGGTTTTTACGAGACAGAGTTTCTCTGTATTGTTTCAGAGGCTATCGGTCTGGCCCGGCCTCGAACTCACAGAGATCCGCCTGCCTCTGCCTCCCGAGTGCTAGGATTCCTCAGTGAGCTTTCTAATTTAGCCACCTGTCCAGGTGACATTTAAGCACAGTGATTTGAGAGCCACTGGTCTAGATTTGAGCAGGAAAGGGTGACATAGGAGGGCCTGGAGGGGGATAGGAGTCGCAGAAAGAACTGTGAACCATCCTAAGAACCTTCTGTTTCTCCCAGAGGAAATTAGAGGCATTTCAGCACTTCAAGAGTCATGAAATGGAATCTCCACCCACTTTTTGTGGTCAGATACTATGTAGAAAATGGGCTAGAAGGGACCAGATCAGAAGCAGGGATACCTGCCAGAGGATGCTGCAGTGGTTCAGGACAATGCTCACTCCATCCTGGGACAAGAATGGAGTCTGCAGAGGGGGAGAATGGAGAACAGAAAGGAGAGAAATTAGAAGTTAGAAGGTACTGTCTAGGTAATTAGAATTCAGGGTGAGTGATTATTTGTTTTGTGCAGCTATGACACAATGTCTGACACTGGGCACCAAACATAAAGAACTGAGATTATTTCTTGCAGTTCTGGATAGAGGTAAGGGCCAGGGCATGGACCCTGCATCTAGAGAATCCCTTCTTCCTCTTCCATCTGATTGTGCAGCTGGGAAGGATGAGAGTGAGAGGCCAAGCTGGCTTTAATGACAAGTCCTGTCAGGCCACAGGAATCCGCTCCTATGATGATGACATTAACCCCTTCATGAAGGCAGAGCACTCGTGACCTCATTGTGTCTTCTCCTTCATCCTATCAGCCCTGTGGCATTGCGGATTAATTTTCTAATAAGTAAACATTGGGGGACACATTCAAATTAAAGCAAAGAAAGGGTTGAGATGAACTTGTTCAGGCAACATTGATGCCTGGGAAGATGGGGGCCTTCATAGAATTCTGTTTCAGGGAAGAAGCATGAGTTCAAATTCAGATGAGTTGGATTTTATGTCAGGATATCATGTACACAGTCCTGGTTTCCTGTTTCTCCTGACATCTGAGGGAAAAAAATCTCTGTGTCTAGGAAGCCACATGTGATGATTCCTACTAAGAACCCAGATGAAGAAGAAATGGGTGACAGCCTGACCTCATTCAAGCAGCAGAGACTACAGTCAGGTATGTGAAGGGTTCAGACCCAAAGATTCATGCGTCTATACTATAGGATGAAGAAGAATCTTCATCATCATTTCTTTCTTTTTGTGTAAAATCATTTTATTTCTTTCTTTTTATTTATTTGTTTTTACATTCCAACCAAAGTTTCTCCTAGCTCCTCTCTTCAGAGTTCCTTACCCCCACTTTTCCCCTTCCTGCCATTTGCTCCTCCTCCACTGTTTCTCTTAAGATTCATATAGGCTGGCATCCCATGGATATCAGACAGCCATGGTTATATTAAGTTGTAGTGAGACTAGGCACCTCTTCTTCTAGTAGGGCTAGATGAGGCAATTTGGCAGGAGGAATGGGTCCCAAAAGCAGACAACCAAGTAAGAGACAGGCCCTGCTCTCACAGTTAGGAGTCTCACACGAAGACCAAGTTACACAGCTCTAATATAGAAAGAACCTAGGACAGTCCCATGGGGGCTCCCTGGTTGTCAGTTCAGTCTCTGTGAGCCTCTATGGGCCCAGGTAGTTGGTTCTATGGGTTTCTTTGTGGGTCTTACAATCCTTCCTCCTCCTCTTCTGCAGGATTCCCTGAGTTTGGCCTAATGTTCGGCTGTGGTTCTCTGCATCTGTTCCCATCAGTTGCTGGGTGAAGCCTCACTGATGACAGTTGGGCTCGGCACCAAACTATGAGTATAGCAGAATATCATTAGAAATAATTTTTTATTTATTTTAAATAGCTTGTTTTACATGTCAATCCCAGTTCCCTCTCCCTCCCCTCCTTCCGCACTCCCCTTCCCCCCCACCATCCCACCCTATTGCCAAATCCTTCCACATAGGGGAT